CGCCGCTGCGCGCCCGGCGCCTCGGAGCCGTTGAGCAGCCACACGGCGCGCGCCAGGTTGGAGCGCTGCTCGCAGGGCAGCAGCACGTCGTCGCCGCGCAGCACCGTGCGGTTCCGCGGCGGCGGCAGCGCTGCGGGAGGGAGGGCGGCGCCGTTGGAGCACGGAGCCCCACGGTCCAGCCCCACAGCCCGGCCCCACGCGCGGCCCCACAACTCACCGCGCGCGGTGCCGCTCCGGCAGCCCTCGTTGCCCTGCTGCACATCCTGCACCAGCGCCGCGCTGCTGCTGCCGCTATGGGGTGACACGAGCCTCAGCGGCCGCCCCGTGCGCCCCACACGCCGCCCCGGTGCCCCCGTCCCTACCTGTGCCCCACGGCGCGGCAGGCCTGGCCGTCCCAGGCGCAGTAGGGGTCGCGTGCCAGGACGCAGTCGTAGCACGAGCTGTAGCGGGCGCACGAGGCCAGGGGCAGCTGCAGGATCCCGCTGGCCGCCCCCACGTAGAGGCTCCACTGGGGAAACGGGGGGAACAGCTGGCTCGGGACATCGCTCTCCGCCCCGGCGTGCCCCAAGGAGGGGACCCCAACGTGTCACCGCTGCGCAGGGCAGCGTCACCCCCCCAGCCGTGGCCTCGGGGCTACCTGCGTGCGCGAGATCACCAGGCTCTCCACGGGCTGYGGCTCCGGGAACACCTGGAGCTCCTCGATGATGTGCACGCCTGCATCCAGCACCACGGCCTTRTGGATCCAGCCGTCGGCTGCGGAGCGGAGCGCGGCGGGGTGAGCAGGGCGCGTGGCCGGCCGCCCCGCCGGCGCCCCGCGCGCGCCCGCGCTCACCCGTCCCCATGAAGAGCACGTCGTAGGGGCGCCCGTCGAGCGCCCGCACCCTGTCCACCGCCAGGCGGCTGTAGGCCACGTTCCTCTTGAGCAGCAGCGGCCCCGCGCCCGCCGGCTTCACCTCGTCGAAGAGCAGCGGGTGCAGCTTCACAAAGTCCAGCACGCTGTTGGGCAGGTCCTGCGAGGAGTTGTAGCCCTTCCTGCGGGCACCGTCCGTGATGCACTGCCCGGCGCGGGGGGAGACGCTGCGTGAGGGCGGCGCGCGGGGCTGCCGGGCGCCCCGGCGCTCCCCGCCGCGCGCCRGGCACTCACGGAGCCGGGCCGCGGCTCGGGCACGCTGCCCTCGTAGCGGGACCACTTGCGCGCCGACTCCTGGTACTCCATGTAGGGCCCCTCGAAGGCTCGCTGCACCTCGGAGATGCGGTAGCGGCACACGGCCGACGCCTCCATGCCCCTCCTGGGGGGCAGAGCACGCCGTGGGGCACGTGGGCGGCGC